TATAGATAGCTACCATCAGTGGCAATAGTTGGTGATCCAATAGTTTTTTTTTTTCCTTATGAAATATCAATATTTTCATTAGGTTATATTTTTGTCATGCTGGTGTGGTGTACAGTCGCTTTCAAATCAAAAATAGAATCTGGATCCTTAGATTTTAGCAAACAAACTTACAGTACATTGGAATAACATTTATATGGAGCTGATGAGCACATTTTTGACTGATTTTATGAAGAAGCCAAGTTCTTTATAGTTGTTTGTCTAATGAACTAATTATTTTTGATAAGAATCAACTTGGTGCTTGTAATGCTAATCTTTAATTTCTGCCAGTGAGAGCTATTTGGAAAATTGTATATATGTAGTTGTTTGCTGTTGTTTTTCTCTATCACTGATAAAGTGGGTCTTTAGTCTTAGAACTTGGATAGTTTTTTTTTTTCTTATTTTTTTAACCTTGTTTCAGTTGGGTTCTACTTTACCTTGGAGACATTCAGTAAAGATTCTTAGTTTGTATGAATATTTTGACATCTATGACTTTATATTTATGAAGCATTGTATTTCTGACATTCTTGAATAATCTCTTTAATTCTTGTTGATCATATATTTGGTCAGCATTTGAGGATGGCATAGACAAGAGGATTTTTTTCTGATTGAGCAGAATTTTCTAGTTTTTCATTCACTATGATAGATTATTTTTATGGCTACCATATTCTTTTCTCTTTGTTTGATCATTGAAATGTTTCTGACCTCTAGCTCAGATAAGGTTAAATTTTAATCCTAGCACCTGCAGAGGAATAATATAAGATAATTTGACACTCAGGACATGTTTATGTTATGGTTTTTCTGGTTATGTCCATTTCTTTATTCTGTTGCATTCATACAGAATTTATATATTACAAGTCTTTTTGTAATATTCCATAATGAAACCTGATGCATGTTTCTGAGAAGAACATACCAAAGCTTCTATTCACAAAAAACACTTTCTCTCAGTAGTGTTTATAGTAGGCGATACTAAATCAAAAAAGAAAAACATTTCAAGCTAAATTAACAGTAGTGGAACTAAGAAAAAATATCACCTGCTGAAATTGAAGTTTGGAAAAAATATTACAATGATAGGACATAACCCACAAAATTATAATTAGCTTATAAACTGGATTACAGAACTAACAAGAATTAGCATTTGAAAAAATTAATTTAAAGAATGCTAGGGAATCAACCATCCTAAACATTGTTAAAAACAAAAAAATACAAATATTTAGAGTTCCAAAAAAAATAATCTCAAAATATTTGAAAAAGACTAAACATTCTTCTTTTTCTAACATAAAATAAAAATTCTATATTTGAAGAAGTAAATTTACCTCCTTATCTATGAAAGTTTGGCATATAGACAAAACTAAATGCGATAGTTTTTTCATAGTCAAGAATATTAAATTTGACTTAAGTCCTTCAAATTGAAAACAGTAGATGTACGTTATTATGGTTTACTTTTAAACAGGTTAATGTTAAAAGGTTGTATAATGATAGATAAAAAAGGCAAGTTTGCGGAATAAATCCACATTGAAATCTTTCTTATTTAAATAAAAACATTTTTACTATTTGTAAAAGAAAGAAGAAGAATTATACATTTTAGCATTATACATAATATTTAGAATCCATGTATTCACAGCTGTTCTAAATCTGAAACCTTGGTAACTTATATAAATAATTATTATTCAATTTGATAGATTATAATAGTTAAACTCAGAATATTATTTATTTAAATGTGATATACTATAGATATTTTTGTTATAATGTCAAAAATCTCCTGTAGAGCGCATAAAATTTCAATTAAATATAATTTATTTGTTGATTTAATGGAAACAAATATACAATGTGTTACTTCAGTTGAAGTATGTTTTCATTTTTAATTCTTTTGTTTTATGGAAATATGTTAAAGAAATTTAGTGTATGCAAATATGTTTTTATATCATAAACATTGCATATGATGAGAAATATTTTAAAATATGGAAACAATTTTCATTTTATTTTATTGTATTACAATATATAGATACCTATGCAGATATATAAATACCCATAACATATTTAGGAGTTTTACTATTATTTTTTCTAATTTTGAAGCCAAACATTAATTATAAGAGTGCAGTCAGATTTTGTAAACTTTTAAAAGGAAGCAATTCTGTTTATTCTTTTTATTTCCCTTTGGAATATAAGAAAAGTGCCTTGTAATGAAAATGTATTTTTCTTTCTTATTCCATGTTTCAACATCTTTTAAAAAATGGGATTATTTTTACTTTCTTATTTCAATCAGGATCATTTCTCAGTATGCTATAATGGTTAGCAGGCTTGTCTTACTCGATTAACTCAGTAGTGAGTTCAATCCTCTCTGGATCCCCCATACTCTCGGGCCTTATGTCACATCTAAACTACGCTTAGAAAATCTCCATTTTTCATTTGTGGTTTTTAACATTTATAGTTTTGTTTGTTTTTCTATATAGACAAAAGTTATTCAAAAGTAATGGCTCCACTTCAATATAATTTCTGTACCTAATCAAAAAAGAATCCAATTATTGTATACAATGTACATATCTAGTACATACCTGAATATTTATGAAAGAATTATGTATATAATTGATAGAATATATATGCATTTTCATGATATAATTCATATATATGTTTCTTCAAAAAGTGGTATTGCAAATTATTTATAACTTAATTTATACAATAAAAAATTATAATGAAAGATTTTGTTAAAGTGTTCAATACAGAAGCTACATTTTAGGTGTTATGCAATGTGTATACATTTATATATTTACTGTAGAGATTGTCATATTCAACATGAGAAACATTGCATTGTTGTATATAGTAACAGTTTGATTTAATCTTTGCTTAAATGAAATACATAAAAAAAGAACTAGTCATAAGTGGAGTAAAATTAAATTAAATGAAATGTCATTATTTAATCTTAAAAGTATGAAATAATATAAAACTTTGTTGTTAAACACAGTCATAAAATATATAATTACTTGAGAAAAAAAACTAACTATAAGAATATATTAAAAATTGTAATAGATTTTATAAAATAGAACTAATATTTTGATATTAAAATAATAGAAACGTTTTTAACAACTGGATTGCCCAGAAGTGTAAATATAATTTTGTCTCAATAGTTATACCATTAAACCAGTGATTTGTACCATGAGTCTTTAAAAACTGCTGTTCTACTGAATGAATATCATATTTACCAGATGAGCTATAGCACCACTCTTGGTGAAAAATAAGAGTGACTTTATTGGGTATGAAAAACTATTCTAAATAAAATTATCAATTATTCAGCACTATACATTAATCACAAAAAATATAGTTATCAATAATTGTCACATTTTTTATTACAAAATTGATCAGAGAGTTCAGAAAAAAAGCAAGATGTTTTATTGTTCATTCAAAAGCCTCACACCAACTAGATGGCTAAAAAAAATACACCTTTACTTGCTAACCTATGATTCCTACTTGGAGACAAATTGTGAATATTGATACCACTAGATGACTTACTTGAGTATTTCTTTTTTTTAATGAAGTTTTTACTGCTTAAATATTCCATATCTTTGCTAATATATCCACCCTAAAACGATATATTTGTGTTCTTTCAGTAATATGGCCTTATAATTTCAAGCCTGACAACAATAGATATTTGATGCAACTGTTTAAAATGAAGGAGACAAAAGATTAAAACTGTTTAAAATATCAACTTAGTGTTTTCATATGTACCATAAGTCTACCCAAGGGAAATAAGATTTTTTTTTTTTTATTGGGTATATCATGACCAAGCCAGAACACACACACACACACACACACACACACACACACACACACAACCAAATGGGGTAGAAGTAGATTTGCTAGAAGGTCACATGCAGCAGTCGCAGTCCAAATAGGATTTGTAATTTGAACAAGGCCAGCAGGATTTTTTGCATTGTTATGAGTCATGGATTGTGATAGATATTTTTAGTACTGAGGATTTTGCAAGTATTATAATGGACTTGGCATAGTAAGAATACTTGAGAAGCTTTTCTCCAAGTTCCAAATAATAGCTTTTAGAATTTCTTAAAATTGAGATAACAAAAATGTCAGTTTGATTGGTTTAAGAATCACAACAACCAATGTATATACAGCCAGATTACTTAATTATATTAATACAGATGTCATGTATATTTTATCATAATAATGTAAACCTAGTGAAATTGAAAGTAATAAATAATACTGAATTATAGTAATAAAATGGTAATTTTTACACAGGTTTTAAGCTAAACAATCCTTTAATAATAATTATAATAATAATAATAATAATAATAATAAAAGCTGTAATAGATGTGAAAAGAATATACAATTTCTGCCTTGTAATAGTTCTTACATTTGGTGTATGAAATATATATGTAAATATAACATCTATTTATTATAATTGCTATTAGCATTATCAACATTTTTGCTATAATTAGAAATATTGTAATCATAACATTAATTGCTGAAGAGTAAATATTATAAAAACATAATATTAAAACAATAATAATAGACTAGTAATATTACTTACTGGTAGTAAAAATAATAGACAAAATGATAATTATATATTAACAGATGTAATTACTACCAAAATAATGAAAATTTTAGTAATACTGATACTTTTATTATTTTTGCTATAAGTCTTACACTAGTAACAGTAGGTATAATAAATGTCACTATTGTAATAATGATAGTTAAACACTAGCTATCTAGATTGATTTGTTTTTTACAGCTTATCAACCTTTTACAGGTTATTTAAAGCTAGAAAATATTTTTAGACTGTCAGAATTTTTTGAAGATAATAATGTTTTACTGAAATATGTCCTACTAATTAATCCATAGTTGGAGGTTGAAGATATTTGTGCATATATGAATATATCAAACTTGACTGGAATTGGATGTCAGCTCTCCATTTCAGGGCTGTTCTTTATTATACCACCTGCACATCAAAGCTTACAACACCTAGGAACTACCAAGCATTCACCTATCTAGCTACTGACCAGGCTTGACATTGCTTAACTTCAGTGATTGAACGAGAACTGGTGTTTCAAGGTGATATGGCCATATGATACTAGTTATCTAGAAAAGTTTAATATAAATTGTTAAGTAATTGTGATAATAGTAAATTAAGATCTGTTATGAAATAGTAGCATTAATTATATTTATAAATAATATAATTAATATGTTGTTCATATATACTACATCAGCTTTTATTAAGCAAGTCAGTGTTTTTACAAATTGTTTTTGTTTGTAAAATTTTCACAATATACTTATAAATATACCATGTCAATTTTAGCTTATATTTGTAAAAATATTTACAATAATTAATTTGGTGATATGAGATTTTATTATACAACTCAGGGTTGTTCATCATATTGTAAATAAATATATATAATAGTGGACATATATTTATTTTTTAAATTTCAGATATATAAATATAGCTATTGGTTATAAGAAAGATATAAACTTGAAAGTGAACCAAAATATTCTAAAGTTATTGAGAGATGATATTGTTGAAATTGTGAAGAAGTTGAACAGAGACAGTATAGGACAATAAAAAAGGAATGGAAAATATTGACAAAATAAGAAAAAAAAATAATGGTTTCATGAATATAAGCAAAAGATATTTGAGAAAATTTAAAAGGGCAGTAAGCAAGAAAGTTGGATTGTCCAACAAGAAAATATTTGAAACTGGTGTTACCAATGTAAACAGAAAATATGAAGGATTTTAAGAAAATTGATGTGAAAGCAACCAAACTACCACCTTTTAAGTAAACATCACAAAGAAAAATGTGAAAGTCACACAAAATACATGAAACCTGTCTTGCCAACAATCATTTTAGTGATGAATATATTTGATAGTTGACTAGAGTTTGGGACTTTCATGGAAATAGCCAAACAACACAATTTAAAAGTCGGAAGTGGAGTAATGTTTTGGACTAGTATTGAAGGCAGTGAAATTATATGTCCTTCGAAATTGATGATGGTATCAAGATAAATGCATAACATTATTATAAGTTCTTGACACATACATTTTTTTTTTTTTTTTGAATGGTACTGATCATGACCATAAATCTTCAGTACATTCATGCAATCCAATACTTCTTCTGCATAGCTGACTATTGCCCAGCTTGCCACAAAAGATTTATAAAACACCAAATTAATAGAATGGCCTCCCAACCTCTCCATATACTAATCCAATAGGAAATGTATGCTCTATCATTAAAAGAGATAGATAACAATATTTGTGCAAAGAGTATATCTAGGAAGCAATAAATACTGCTGCAAGTAATGTTAAAGTCAAAACAATAGAAAAATGATTGGAAGGCTGATAATAAAAGTTTATAGTAGTACATCAAAGAATCTATATTAACATGTAAAATAATAATCTATTTAACTGTAAGAGATTTTGTGTTAATCAAATATATTCCTATGGCCTGTTTCTTTTGAAATTTTTCTTTGTAATCAATTTACCCCAAGCAAGGCGATAATGCCATTAAAATGCAAGTGGTTACTGTGAGTGAAAGAGAATAAAAAGACTTTAGAAGGAACTGGAAACCCAATCCTAAACAGGAAACAAAGGATAAACCTCTACTCCTGTTCAAAAGACTGGGGAGGAGTGAGAACAAGGCAATAGGCAAACCTATTAAGAAGAAAAAAAAATAATTAGTAAATAAAATTTCAGAGTTCAGTTGGAGATGTTAGAAGTATAGAGTTGAAGTAGACTTTAGAGAGAACCAGAAATCCAGTTCTAAACAGGAAATAGGGATAAACCTCTACTCCTGACCAGGTAGGAGCTAAAATAAAAATAAAAAACTATGTTGCACTTAGTTTGTTTTCATAATAAAATCTGGCACTCTTAAAACAAGTAATTATTAATCTTTTTTGTTAAGCTGAAAGTCACATCATTTACTACCTGTATAAATATATCATAAAAATTTTACCAACATTAAGAAAACATTAACTTGTATAATAAAACTGTTGTAGTGTAATAATTCTAGGGTGGATCAAATAAATACTTAATAGTAATAGAACACCGATACCCCACTTTATGTCCAGTAGAAATTTACATTAATATTTAATGTAAATATGGTCTTAATACCATTTTTATTGGGAAAACATTGGCTTGCATAATAAAATTTGATTTAGTGTAATAATAATTGCTGGTGTTATTAATTTCCATACAAGCAATTATGACCAGTAATGTAATATTATTAACACTAAGGATAGGGTAGGAATATTAGTAAAAGAGTAGTAATAAAAATAGTATTATGGTATTAATAATTGTTAATAACAGTAACAATAATACTAGCAATTATGATAGAAATAAAGCAGTAGTTAATAATTGAAGAATAATAACATTCATAAAACTCTGTTTTAATGATGCTTACCAATATTGTTCAATAATATACTTTGTTTTGTAAATGTTATTTAAGCGTTCATTATTTTATTTATTTACTAAATTTTCTTGCTTCCAATTTTTAATTGTTACTTTTATTTTCTTAAAAAAAAAACTGTATTATCATTAGTCAAGTTGTAGTCATTATTCACTGTAACAGGTGAACTATTATTCACTGAAATTGTTATTAGTTATAAAATACAGATACTCCTCATTAACTGGTTAAAGATTTCATTTGGAAATAAATCTAAAGAATTATGTAAAGGAAATTATTTATAGTCATATGTTGGTGGAATTTTAAGTTATATTTAAGATTTTTATTAACCATACTTTGAATAAAGATGCCTTAAAAGGTACTTTGCAGATATTTAATAAGGTTGATATTTGATATTTTGTTAAATGTATATTTAAACACTCATTTTTAATTAACACTATTGTTGCTATTGATATTATTATTATTTATGTTCTTATTAGCAGCAGTTTATGTTAAGCTACCTTGTTATTAACATTGATAATATTGTTTTTATTATTGGTAGTTTCATCTGTAAAAATTGTTGTAGTTGTATTAATATTGTTATTTTTAATACTTATCCTATATTCATTGTTAACATTTGTAATAGTGATCATTTCTCCAAATAGTAGTAGTAATAGATAAAGACTTGTCATTATTGATAACATTCATATTTTATAAATGACTGGAATTAACATTGTTATTTTAGGACCATGTACTCTGGTTCCACTTAAATTAATAGAATAAATAATGAAAAGTTTTTAATTACTGGATTTTTAATAAACCCCTTTTCCTTAATAAAGTTATATAAATTTAGAGATTCTTGATAAAATTCAAAGAATCTGCAATATTATCAGTCCTGACCTGACATTTTGACTTCAGTCACTTCCCCACAGCTGTGATATGACTTCCCTATGCCTTTTCTATAAATATTTTTTATAGTAATGGTTGTGACGAACTTTCCTCTTTGGTACCTTGACTTTACAAATTTAAGTGCAGTACTTAATTGGCAACTAGGTCTCATTATTTTACACTTGAAATGGCTATATATAACTATAAGTTCTATGCTAACAGTTACTTGCACTTCTCACTTGTAGAACTCTCTCTTATAGATTATTGCTTCCCAGTCAACTTTGCATTTAAATTTTTGAAGATCGACGTCAATCATTATGTTTTGTCTTAATGCCTGTTATTTTATTGTTATGTCTACTTAATGTTTTTCTGTTTTTTCTCTCAATAACCCTTTTAATCTCTGGATGAAAAGATTAAAAAAACAGGTTTCTGTATTATTTCCACTAAAAAGTTTGGTCAAAAGCATTTAGAATCTTAGTTACAAATTATATTTTTTTTCTTTTAATCATTTAAAAATATATAAATATAATATTAAAAATACAGTGTGTAATGTATATATATATATATATATATATATATATATATATATATATATATATATATATATAATGGGTAGTGTAGATAAACTGGTTATTTTTTAAATCTGTATTCTATGAAAATTGTCTAAAACTAGGAGGTTAATAGATGATACTTGCAATTCATTTCATGGTGTAAGTAAAGTAAATATAGTAAAACTCACATACTGGAACTATCTATTCATCTGTAAATTATGTATTGAATATACAAAATATAAAATTGTTAAGTTTTTGTTTTACTCAAATATTTTTATTATTGTATATTAGGAAGAATTAGGAAAATTGTCTAATTTATTAACTAATTAGAGCAGTGCATATAATCGAATGTTCTTATGGATAATAATTATAATACTGTGTAATTTAATATTTATCATTAAGATAATTAGACATTTTAATTAAAAAGGTTTATTTTAAATCATTTCTCTTTTCCCTGTGTGTACTGTAAAAATATGGAAGTATAAAGAATTACATTTATATATTCATTAAATTCAAATATCTAGTCTCTCTAAAGGAAAATTAAATAGAATATTAAACATATAATTAAATCATAATATTTATGGTATGGTGTTCATGCATTTCATATGCATTCTACAGGTATTCAGTCATTTCAGAATTGTTTCTAGCTGTTGATAAAAAAAATATTTTCTTAAAAAAAATTTGTTAAAACTAAAATATATACATGCCTCTTTTCAAAATGTTGAATAGACTGCAGGTTTATATATATATATATATATATATATATATATATATATATATATATATATATATATATATATATATATATATATATATTGTGTATTGAGGCAACAGATCATTATTTAAACATATATTATTAAATATAATAGACAATGAATGTCTATTAATAATATTATGTCTATTATATCTGATCATGAGCCATTCAAATGTTTGCTTTAATTTCTGGTGAAAATAAAGACAAAATTATCCAACCCGTGGATATTGTTTTTATTAATTTGGACTTAAGCTTTCAGCCCACATGAGCCATCCTCAGAGTGGTTATACAGTCATGAAACAAAGATATCCACTATCAAAGATGATATTTTGTTATTTTGACATTGCTATGCGTCATTAACGGTTGCAGAATAGCAGACGCATATCGTAAGTTCAAGATATGGTTCTATGATGTCATACCCCATGCTACATTGAAATATTAAAACAGAACCAATGTCTAGATGCACTGTTATGTGTTGTGACTAGTTTGAAATGTAATTT